GAACAGTACAAACAACAAACCCACCACGAGTACACACACACACACACTGGCACCCACGCGCAGAAGATGCTTATCAATACTCGCGTTACACAAAAAAAGTCCGTTTTGCGAGGCATGTCTATCCACCGCAGGCTCGTTCCCGGGACCTCCGCGTCGTGGGACGTACTTGGGGTGTTACCCAAACACATGGCACCACAACGACAAAGAAAAAAGGAGCGGAAACGACCGGTGAGGGTTCAGCCCTTGGGGCGCCCCCTGCCAAGATGGAGCCACCGCCGAAAAAAAAAGAAAAGAAAGTTGTACTCGACGTGGCGATCAATGAAAGTAGCATCAACAAACTGGAACGAAAAACAAAAGGGGAAAAAACACACAAAGACGAGACAATGCAGCAACCATCTGGGACATTGCCATCCACAGACAGAGATCCAGTGCCTCTCCGTGCCACATATGCGGCAGACGCGGGAAAGAGCATTGTTGGATGCCCGGCCCACCACCACGCCGCTAAGACGCCTTCTGCTCCTTGGCGCGCTCGGACCACTCGGTCCAGCTCCCAGGATACACAGCCGTGTCTGCGTAGCCGCACTCCCTGGCCACTTTTTCCCCCTTCTCCGCACGCTTCCCCATCAGACAGTACATGATAAGCGTGTCCTCTTGCGGCGGCTTGGGCACCGCGTACTTTTCCTTAAACTGCCCCGGTTCGCTCTTCAACGCCGCCTCGAGCTGGTCGAGGGGCAAGTTTAAGGCCCCGGGAATGATGCCCGTGCTCTGCACCTCATCCTGCCCCCGCACATCAATCAAATGAGTCCGAGGAAGCTGCCCTTTGAGCTTGCTTTCCACAACGGCCTTCACATCCTCGTAGGTAAGAAGCTTCTGCATCTCGGTTTAAAAGCTTTGAGTGGCTTGCCTTCTGCACACATGCAAAGAACGAAGAAGAGAGCGTCTTGCACGACCGCGCCGTCAGACACCGCCTGCCCACGTGCCGGCAGTGTCCAGAGAAACACACGGACGACACCCCCGCAGGTTGCAACAACAGTAACAAACCTCGAAGGGGGAAAAAAAAGTTCAGAAGAAAAAGAAAATTAATTTGTTATTTAAATGAATTAAAACTGAATTGCCTAAAAGCTCCCTGACACCGCAGCACATACTTCCTTTTCTGCAGTCTGGAGAAGTCGAGGGCCGGCGAACAGGAAAGCGACGGATGTTCTCCTTTTTTTTGTGACCCCCCAAACCCCCGCCGAACAGTACAAACAACAAACCCACCACGAGTGCACACACACACACACACACACACTGGCACCCACGCGCAGAAGATGCTTTTCAATACTCGCGTTACAACAAAAAAAGTCCGTTTTGCGAGGCATGTCTATCCACCGCAGGCTCGTTCCCGGGACCTCCGCGTCGTGGGACGTACTTGGGGTGTTACCCAAACACATGGCACCACAACGACAAAAGAAAAAAGGAGCGGAAACGACCGGTGAGGGTTCAGCCCTTGGGGCCGCCCCCTGCCAAGATGGAGCCACCGACCGAAAAAAAAAAGAAAGAAAGTTGTACTCGACGTGGCGATCAATGAAAGTAGCATCAGCAAACTGGAAACGAAAAAACAAAAAGGGGAAAAAACACAACAAAGACGAGACAATGCAGCAAACCATCTGGGACATTGCCATCCACAGACAGAGATCCAGTGCCTCTCCGTGCC